TGGCAAACTTCGAGTACCTTCAAGCCTTTTGTGGAAGTTCATTTAGTCGGGCCTTATTTAGCAGACAAAAAACGACGAGTTTCAACAACATCAAAATCTGGCAACTGGGCTCCTAAATTCAGTGAAACTTTCCATTTGTACGTTTCATTTAAGATTTTATATAAAATGACTGTTTTTACAGCTTTTTGGGCAATGAGGGGGAACCAGAACATTACGAGCTTATGATTCAAGTGAAAGACTATTGCCTGATAAAGGATAACCGTGTTGTTGGAGTTGGGGTTCTCCAGCTGGCAAATGTTATCGAGCAAAGTGAGTTATTGAAGTTCAAACTGTTGTTCGAAAAAATAGAGTTTAACAAATAAGGACTTCTTTCAGTATGCCAAGGAAATTACTCAATGTGGGTTCAGTTAGGTGCTCGTCTCAATATTGATGAGACAGGCTTGATTCTCTTGAGAATCTTGAGCCAAAGGCCAAACGATGCTGTTGCGCGAGACTTTGTGAAGTTAAAAACGGAATGCCGGTTCGAAACAGAAAGTGTGAGCGCATTGGCTGCATCAGCCAGTACTCATAATATTAATCGTTAACTGCCATTATATCTTTTGTGCTTTAGTCAGAATTTTTAAGTTTTAAAGAGATTGTTTGCATCATACATATTGCCCTGTGACCACTTTCTGTGATTTTTTTGAACAGTTCTCTCTGCGGATTTCGAAATTGCTACAAAACTCCTTTATCACTTCTCTTTGACATTGATTCTCATTTTCTCAGAAATCTTTCATTAATTCGCATTTAACCCTCTATTCCAAGCTTTTTTTCTTCTATTGATGAATGGGTATTCCAAAGTTTTAATGTTCACGAACTCTATTGTACTCTTTGTTTAACTTTCTGCTCTGGAAATTATTCAAAAGCTTTGAAAGTGCCTTATATATATATATATAAGAATAAATATATATATTATTATATAAATATTATATTTAAAAGACTTTTCTATCACAAAACCGACAAACTTGCGAAAACGT